CAGCTCTCAGACCAGGCACCTACTGGTCGTGCAGTATGTGGGCCCTGACCCTGCTCAGACTGCATGCTCTGAGCAAACATTTCGAGGAGCCCCCGCGGTCAGGCTGCACAGGGCCTGGCCTTCTCCCGGGCTGCTGGCAGAAGTGTAGCAACCGGACGTTGAGTGGCTCTGGCAGCGTTTCAAGGGGTGAAGTCACGCCTGGGCGCGCGTGGTTGCCGCCAGGTGGCGCGGCCCCACGCCCACAGGGCTACCCCGAACCATGAACACATGCATACGCACGCACGCACGCACACACCCACACACACACTCCACACACTCCCCCACCCACCCACTGATACCTTTGCAGCTCCTGGCGTGGGGAGGGGGAAAGGAAGGGAAGGATAAAAGAAAAAGGCCCATCAGATCCCTTCCAGGTGCACTTCCATAATTTCTGTGCCAAGGAACTGCATGGGAGAAGAGACTGTACACTGCTCGAGAGGGAATTTTGGGAAAGCCAGAACCAATCCCTCCTACCCACAAACCAAGGAATCAAGCGCCTGAAGTTTTCGATTTACCCTTAGTCTGTCACATGGATGCTTTAATGTTTTTCATGATTCGGAGGGTTTTTTTTTTTAAAAAAAATAAAAGCTTAATTTTATGGGGGAGACACAATACTGATGGGTTTGTTGTGTGAGGAAGAGAGAGAGAAGGAAAAGGTTGTCAGTGAGGGAGCTGATGAACAGAGGTTTGGGGGTGTCAGAGGTGTGAAAGGGGGCTGCTTACCAGCAGCTCTTGGGGTTTGATGGAATTGTCCGTATATATGCAAAGTTTCTCTGCTGTAAGGGGGATTGTCTCTTTCAGCTTGGAGGCCAGGAACATGCACACTGCCCCGAGCAGTTGCAGATGGCACTTTCGGGTGGGCACCACAGCTAAGAATCTGTCCAAGTAATTCATAGCCAGAGGAAAAACTTCTTCTTCACACTTCTGCTCTTCGCAGACCTGCAAGTAAGAAGCATGGTAATGGGGGGAGGTAAGAGAATGAGACACAGGAAAAAATAAAATGATCCCCCAAAATAATGGGATCTGAGACACAGCTCCTACTATGTTTTGTTTCCCGGGGAGCTAATTTTAGGGGGAGGGGGAAATCTCTGGAGGGGATGGCTGTCAATCAGCTTGCGCATTCCTTTAGTTCATTCAGTAAGAAATGAATTCAAGACACTGTGGAAGAGCCGAAAAGCCCCAATCCGTCAGTGAGTTGCTTTTTTTTTTTCCAATCTTTCTTTAGCTCATCATATTTTCAAAAATTCGATAAAAATATCTAAATTGCCACAAGAATCTCAGTTTTGGTACCAGCGGCATCCCAGGACAATCTCCCATCATTTCCAACAATTGCAAAAATTCCCCCGGGGGGTTGACCTCCAGCCCCAGGCCTGCGATCTGTCGAGAGGGGGAGGAGACAGATGGAAGACACAGCGAGGGCGAGTTGGGGTGGGCAGAGCTCGAGAAGCCTGAATCTCTTTAGCGAGAAAAAAAAGATCAAAAATTAACCAAAAACCGAGGCCGGCAAGAAGTACAAATAGCACATGAAAACCAAACGGAGGGCCTGATCTCAGCCACAGAGGGTTGGTCTGGAAAAAGCAACTCCCCCTCCCCCCCGATGAGATCCGACGGGGCAAATGATGATGGTGGGGCCAAGGCAAGGCAGCTAAGTATGCAAGGAAATGGTCCCGCGGCCATCCTGAGTAAGTTTGGCGAGGGTTTCGGCTCCCCGTCGGGCTGCCCGGCAGCCACTGACCAGGCTAGGGAA